TTTTCTTTTTTTGGAGAGGTTTTTGCTATAGGGCGCATGCGCTCGCCAGACAGACAGAGAGAGACAGAGAGATAGAAAGTGAGAAATCACCCCCCAGGGGGGATGGCCATGCTGCAATCCCTTCTCCTCCATTCTCCTCTCGGGATCTTGGGCACGCACACACGCCCGGCTTGAGTTTAAGCCACCGGGTCCGGGACTCGAACCGTGGTCGACTACGTGGGAGTCCAGCAACATAGCCATTATGCTAACTGCTGGTCCCTACTTCTTTTTTTTAAGAGAGATTTTTTGCTATAGGGTGTGTGTGCTTGCCAGAGAGACAGAGACAGAGAGAAAGCAAGAAATCACCTCCCATGGAGGATGGCCATGCCGCGATCCCCGCTCCTCTATTCTCCTCTCAGGATCTTGAGCATACACACACATGCGCCCGGCATGAGTTTAAGCCACCAGCTCTGGTACCCAAACCGTGGTCAGCCATGTGAAAGTCCAGCAACATAATCATTACACCATCTGCTGGTCCTTTTTTTTTTTTTTTATTTTTTAAAGAGAGATTTTTGCAATAGGGCATGTGTACTCATCGGAGAGACAGAGAGACAGAAAGCGAGAAATCGCTCCCCGGGGACAGGGGAGGTGTGTGGTAGCCACGCCACAATCCCTTCTCCTCCATTCTCCTCTCGGGATTTTGGGCACACACGCCTATATGCTCAGTATGAGTTTTAAGCTGCTGGGTCTGGCACCTGATAGCAGTCGACTACGTGGGAGTCCAGTGACATAACCATTATGCCATTTGCTGGTCACCCAGTTTTGCATTTATGAAGGACTTACCATGTATTAGGCACATTCTGAATACTTTATATGTATTAATTCATTGAATCATCGGTGAAGGCATGAGTTACAATTATCTATACCTTACAGAACTGGGGCACAGGGACCAGCAGTTAGCGTAATGGCTATGTCGCTGGACTCCCACGTAGTCGACCGCGGTTCGAGTCCCGGACCCGGTGGCTTAAACTCACGCCAGGCGTGTGTGCGTGCGTGCCCAAGATCCCGAGAGGAGAATGGAAGAGAAGGGATTGCGGCGTGGCCATCCCCCCTGGGGGGTGATTTCCTGCTTTCTATCTCTCTGTCTCTCTCTGTCTGTCTGGCGAGCGCACGCACCCTATAGCAAAAAAACCTCTCCAAAAAAAAAAAAAAAAGAACTGGGGCACAGAAATTTAAACTAATTTGTGGTAAAACTCACAGTGGCCCAGCCATGGTGGCACAGGCAGTAGGGACCACTGTGTGATACCAGTGCCATATGGGAGCTGGGGTTTGGATCCCCGAACAACTTGAACATCCTGGGCTCTGCAAGGAGCACACCTATGTCCTAGGTGGCTGGAAGGCTGGCAGGAGATCACAGTGTGTTGTGGTTAAGACCCAGTCAGGAGTGCCTGTCTTTGTGTATCTCTCTCTTATAAATAAATAATGTTTAAAAACAAACTGTAACTCACATAGCTAGAAGTTGGTGGAGCAAGAATCAGAAATCAAGTTGCCTTGGAGCCTGTGCCCCATCCCTACACTACACTGCCTGTCTACACAATCCTCTCATTTTTCCAGACCTACCTCTTCGGTTACTTTTACAACTGGTCTCTGACTCCCCGAAAGAACACTCACCACCCTCTGTGTCCCTGCAGCACTGACTGAATCTCTAGCCCAGCACTGAGCACAATGCAGGATCTATCCTACTGCCCGTCGCCCGACTAGTCTGGGAGCTCCTTAAGAACAGGCACTGTGCTTTATTCATCTCTGTAACCAAGTACTACACAGAATACTCCAGACTTCATTGAATGCTTATTGAATGTTTATTCGATGAGTAAGTTACTACTGTTACAGGGCATTATTACACTTTAGCAACAAAAAATACCATCAAGCCAGCCAGGTTAGCATCTCACCCACTGCAGAGGCCAACTACTTCTCGAATAATCAGTGTGCTACCTCGCCAGCCCAGGGGTCAGACCTCCTTCCACAAGAAGATTCCTTCACTTTCTCTTTATAGAGTTTCCCTGGATGGCAGTCCTTTTCCCACTCGCCACCCTATCCTATCCCACCTCCGGTATCTCATCCTAGTGCCAAGGCTACCCTTCCTTGCTTTCCAGACAAAAACCTAGAGGAACTGAACTGAGCCTCAGTCCATGCATAATGGTAAGATTTAGAGCTAATACTTGCTTAGTGTTTAAGATTTAAGTGTTTAAGAGCCCTCCATGGTTCTAAGTGCTTTATATAGCACTTTACTACTCTAAGTTGTATCTCAGAGGGCCTCAGGCATCACAGGGGTTTTACCTGTCTGGTCAGCATGAAGCCAGAGGATGCAAGGGTTAGGGAACTTCAGAGGGCCTCCCAGGGGCCCCCCACCTTCCTCTGCATGTTGACGACGAAGAAATTCGCTATGACAGATTCCCGTTTCTTCAAACACTTGCAAGCTCCTAAGTCAGTTGAAAGTGGGGAAGAAGAGGCATACCCATAAAACCATTAGGGAATCTTCGTCTCAAGTGAAACAGGGAGAAAGACTGTTTATTACAGAGAGCCTCATTCTCATTTTCACTGCAAAAATCTCCTAAAAACTTTAGGTAAAGTAAGAAAAAAGTTACTTTTCTAAACATATATAAATTTTTCTGAAGTCAGTTAAACAGGTTTAGAAATCACAGGTTTTTTCCACACACACACAGAATGAGACTCACTCACTCTCAAGTAGCAGTAAAAGAGCTTGTTTGGGACACTGTTACAAGCCAACAAGTCTGGTCTCGCTGGACAGCCTTTCCCACGTACAAAACTATGTCGTACAGCCAGCTCATCAACCTCCTTTTCAAATATGTCCAAAATTAATGGAGAACACTCCTGGCTAATCCAGTATTCTGCTGGCACAAAGATCACTAAATAAAGAGCTCACATGCTTGTTTGTAAAGCCCCACTCATTTCTGCCCTATCTATTATGTTATACAGCACTGGGTCATTTAACTCCCAAATAAGTCTACACTCTAGGTAACTGCAACTTATCAGCCTGCAAGTGACCTTTCCCTTCCTGACCCAATTCCATTTCCTGAAACGCTCACATAAGAGGGGAGAGCCCTTATCTTTCAGTACCAATGGTCACTCAAAGAGGATCTATGAAAAAAAAAAGTAATAATGGACATCTAACTTATTTTGAAGTTAGAATACAACCTCAAACCAAAAAAAAGACAAAAAAAAAAAAAAAGCCCTTCAATCCTCTCTAAAAGAAAGACTGTAGAGGGAACTAGCAGTTGGCGTAATGGCTATGTCACTGGACTCCCATGTAGTTGACCATGGTTCAAGTCCCGGACCCGGTGGCTTGAACTCACACCGAGTACATGTGCGTGCGTGCCCAAGACCCCGAGAGGAGAATGGAGGAGAAGGGACTGCAGTGTGGCCATCCCCCCTGGTGAGTGATTTCTCGCTTTCTGTCTTTCTGTCTCTGTCTTTCTGGCGAGTGCATGTGCCCTATAACAAAAAAACTCTCAAAAAAAAAAAAGACTGTAGAACTCTTGGTTGAACTACTGACTCTTGCTAACATAGAGTTCTTGGGCCAGTCAGTGGTATGGTGGTTAAAGTGGCTGGATCCGACATGGCCTACTTCATTCACAGTCCTGGACTGGGCAGCTTGAAAAAAATCATACAGTGTAGGTATACATACACACCCAAAATCCCAAAAAGAATTAGAAATGGAGGAGGAGGAATTGCTGTACGATCATTCCCAGGGCAGGGCAGGCAGTGCTCTCTCTCTCACCAGTGAGCATTACACACCCTCTGGCAAATTACAAAAAAAAAAAAAAAAAAAAAAAGATAAAATTCTCAAAATCACTACTAATTTAGAAGTAGTAAAATGCAAAGAGTGATCAGAAAGAACTAACTAGTAAAAGAAGAGGAGAACAACAACCAAACTCTAGAATCATGTCATAAAACAATGCAGAAAAAAAAAAAAAAGAATGATCATCCCTTCCCCCAAGTTTAAAAAAACCTGAAGGCCAGCCATATAGAGCAGGAGCTAAGGGCTGTGCACAGAAAGCTGGACCGCTTTGGTCAGCTGTAGTTCAAACTCTAGTGACAGCAGGTTGAAAAACACAGCAGGTGCATGTGCTGGTGTGACTGAAATCTGAACAGGGTGGAGAAACGGAGAAAAAAGGATTGCAGCACGGCCACACATCAATGGAGTGTTTCCTCTCTGTCTCCCTTTGCCAAGTACAGGCACCCTCTGGCAATAAAAAAATAAAATTAAATTAATAGAAAGATTTCTATTTGGGACCAGCAGTTAGCATAATGGCTATGTCGCTGGACTCCCATGTAGTAGACGGCGGTTTGAGTCTTGGACCCGGTGGCTTAAACTCACCCCAGGCGTGTGTGTGTGCATGCCCAAGATCCTGAGAGGAGAATGGAGAAGGGATTGCGGCGTGGCCATCCCCCTGGGGGGTGATTTCTTGCTTTCTGTCTCTCTGTCTCTCTCTGTCTTTCTGGAGAGTGCATGCACCCTATAGCAAAAACCTCTCCAAAAAAAGAAGAAGAAAAAAAGATTTCTATTTAAATGTTTAAAATAAAATGTTTGGATACAGAAAATACAAACTTTATTAGTCTAGAACATGCATTTTCAATGAGGTGTTACTGCCCTCAAGGGGGTAGAAAAACTTAAGATATTACATTGTACAGTCCTCCAAAGCACAACCTTACCTGAAAAAACATCTTATTCTTTGGTCTTAAATTTCACTGGAGGAGAAGGACAATAGTGAAAAAAGGACTGAGACACAGTGACCTAGAAAGTGCCTTTAAGGGGAATACTTCATACTTACAGATATTACTGTGAGTTAATTTGTATAACTGCCCACACAGTAGGCCTTTCATTAGCTGTTCTAGCTATTCTACTAGGCTAGAAGTGCTATCACTCCCAGTACTGCAGGAAATAAACCTAACCCATGAGGTTGCAATTTCAACCTTTCCCCCCAAAAAATGACCTTATGATTTATTTACCATCTTTCTTTCCTACAACAAAATCTCGATGTGCAAAGGTAAACTGATCTATGAGACAGTTTATCAAATCTACCTCCCACTGGAAAAGCTGCTGGGGCATAATTCAGTATTACACAATCAATTATGCAACCCAAATCACAATGTAAACGGGCTGCATGCCAAAAGAAAAACAATATATGAAAACTGTTATACAAGCAAAGATCAAATAGTAAATGAAGAAAGTGTACATAGGCCCCAGGGAAAAACAATATTGTACATGCATTTAAAATGTAAGAACAAAATAGGGTGCATAGAGGGAGCTGGACTGAGAGTGGAGGGAACTGATCTGAGGACGTAACTTACCTTCCAACCTGCTCAGGCAGAACAAAACACACCAATCTGCACTCCCCGCTAGAGCCAAACCTCTCCTCACTCGGGCAAACTAAGAACTCACTGCCCTCCAACTCTGCAGGAAATCGGGGTCAGTGGGGCAGGCTTTCTTACCTGGCCACTTTGCGCTTATCATGTGGGTGCAGCTTGGCGGCCATTTCCGGGTCCACCTGGCTCAGGCGTTTGTGCAGTACATGGCCATCCTCCTTTTCCAGCTCTTCTTTCCGGTCAGTCACTTTCTCAGTGCCCATCTCCTGGGGCTATTAAAGGTTTAGAAGTAAATTTAATGTAACATTTCAACAAACATTGAGATGGTGTATGTGTCAGGGCATTTTGCTAGGAACACAGAATAGTGATAAACTGGACAGCCTCACCATCTAGTGAGACAGATCATAAACAGGGAAATTTCTAACATGGTGTGGTAAGCATCTCAGCAAACAAAGAGGAAGGAGGACTGAATACGCAGGGAGTACCGCAAGGAGTACCGAGCTCCCCTGAGCTCCCCTGCTTCCTGTCAGAAGTGCAATCAGGTAGCAGGGCTACCACTTCTATTTTATCCAGGAGTCTAGTTTTCTCAGCAAGGGTGACCAAAGAGCGGGACACAACTGCCAGCTCACTTCAGTTTGCAAAGTCTCCCAAAGGCAGTAGCACCTCTGTAAGAAAGGTCAGGGTTGAACACATCCCTGACATTATATATGTATTGTGCTCCCAGCCGGATAATGCTGAATCAGACTAATGTACTGTTAACGCACATGGAAATGCTAATTAATCCACACAGGCGCACCTTTCCCACACAGTCCCCGCCCTTAGGCCACCCTGGAGGAGCACACTTCAAATGTGGAAGTGGCATTCGCTTCAGAATATTAAGTAGGAAAATCACCACTGCTGAGTGTAAGAACTAGCAAGAGTCAACCCTCCTCCCACTAAAATTAGCTCTCAAGAAAGAGGAACCTATGTCTTCAATGAGTTTCAAGTCAACTACACGTACCTTGGTACTGACAAGAACTTTCCAGAGCAGAGACTCAATATAATAATTGGTTCCTCCCACAACAATAGGAATCTTGTTTCGGGCAAATATATCTTCAATGTGAACATTAAGAAACATATCACAAAATTTAATATCAAGAAGAAAAACCTAACTTACTTGGAAAGGAAGGTATTAGTAAGAACCCACATTCGTCTGCTAGCGGAAGGAAAGGACAGAAACCTAAATGAACTGGTATCAGTCTTATGGTTTCTCATAACGTTTCAGAATCATTTCTAATCAGTTCTGGAGGGACTTACATAAACCAGAGATAAAAGCACAATAACTCCTTCCCGTTCTAGAACTTGATAGGTCTTGCAGCTAGAATTCAAAGTTTTATTGGCATTCGGTTTAACAAGCACAAGCCCAAAGACAGTCTTCTAAGGCAAACATAAACTAGTCTAAGGTTCTTTTTTTTTTTTCATCAGAATATTCTTTCTTTCATGTGTGCATTTAGTTTTTAGTGTAATTTCTGATTTACATCTAATTGTATTTATATTTGTGAGATAAAGTATGAGTTTTTAAAAACATACACACAACATGCAATAACTAAATCAAAGACACAAGCACATTCCCTATTCCCAACATTCAATACCACAGTGGGTTTGAGTTTGCATACTCAAAAATCACTCTGCTATGTTCTTGGAAGCATATATTACTTTCTCTAAGGTTCTTAGGTGCAGTCAGTCTCTACACTTTCCCACTGGAGACCTCACTAGAGAAACTAAGAAACATGGTTTCTCAAGGCAAATTGACTTTGATTACCGGGTCCAGCTCCTGGGCAAGTTATTCAGTCTGTCTGAGCTTGTTTTCTCACTTGTAAAATCCCCATGAGTTCTTATGAGCACTAAACGTGACAATGCATATACACCCTCTACCACAATGCCTGAAAAACAGTAAGCCCTCAATTTAATTTAGCCGCTATTATTTCTACTACTACTGCTGCTCTGAATTCTTCTCTTTAAAATCTCTCTCTAAATCAGCAGGTGGCATGGTGGTTAAGGCACACAGCTAACCACAGTTTGAGTCCCTGATCTGGTGGCTTGCTTTCTCTTTCTCTGGTAAGCAAATGAAACCTACAGCAAAATTTTTAAAATAAGATGGCATGGTAGTTAAGGTGCTGGACTCCCACAAGGCCAACCCAGGTTCAAGCTTGACCCTGGTTCAAGCTTGCTTTCTCACGCTCTGTCTCTCTCTCGCTGGTTAAACTGAAGAAGAATAATAAACAAATAAAATTAAATGAGTAATTCTTTAAATAATAATTTTTAAAATAAATAATTTTCTTTTTTGAATTATCTTATTTAACTTTATTTATTTATTTATTTTTTCAGTTTGATGAGAGAGAGAGAGAGCAAGCTGCCAAGTCCAGGACTTTTTTTTTTCTGGAGAGTTTTTTGTTTCTGTTTTTGTTTTTTTTTTCTTTTGCTATAAGATGCGTGCGCTCACCAGACAGACAGAGAGAGACAGAGAGACAGAAAGCGAGAAATCGTCCCCCAGGGGGGGATGGCTACACCACAATCCCTTCTCCTCCATTCTCCTCTTGGGATCTTGGGCACGCATGCAGATGCGCTCGGCGTGACTTGAACCGCAGTCAACTACATGGAAGTTCAGCGACATAGCCATTATGCTAACTACTGGTCCTGCCAGGTCCAGGACTTGAACCATGGTCGGCCATGTGGGAATCCAGTGCCTTTAACCACCATGCTACCTGCTGGTCCCAATAATTCTCTTTTTTTAAGTTTTTATATTATTTTATTTAACTTTAGTTATTTATTTACTTCTTTTAATGTGACCAGAGAGGGGGGGAAAGAGAGAGAAAGAGAGTGAGAAAGCAAGCTGCCAGGTCTAGGACTTGAACTGTGGGCAGCTATATGGGAGTCAAGCACCTTAACCACCACACCACCTGTCGGCCCCAAAAATAAATAATTCTTTTTTATTTTTGGAGAAGTTTTTGCTATAGGGCACGTGCACTCACCAGAAAGACAGAGAGAGACAGAAAGCGAGAAGTCACCTCCCGGGGGGGATGGCCACACTGCAATCCCTTCTCCTCCATTCTCTTCTCAGGATCTTGGGCACCCACACACAAGTGCCCGACATGAGTTTAAGCCACGGGGTGGGGACTCAAACCGCAGTCGACTACACGGGAGTCAAGAGACATAGCCATTATGCCAACTGCTGGTCTTCCAAAAATAAATAATTCTCAAAAAAGAAAAATGGGAAATCTCCCAGCCTATAAGTGATCTGATTAAGTCATCCCATTGTCCTTAGGAAACCTTTCTTAGTTTTGTATTTTAGATTAGTTTTTTTTCCAATTAGACTATATTCCAGCAACAAGTTGTATTTGCTGATATATTTTAATTTGTGAAGGGCTTTCATATATATTATTTCATCTGATAACAACAATCTGGTTAAGTAGGTAGGGCAGGAATTATTAACTGCATTTTAATCTCTATTTGATAGGCAAAAAATATTATCTCATTGCTGTGATCTACATGTCCCTGATTAACATGGATAAAACTTTTCCATGTATCACCATTTGTATTTCTTCCTTTATGAATTACTCCTCATGCTCTTTTAAGTATTTTCCTATTAATTCATAAGCATTCGTCAAGAATGCTCATTAAGAATATTAACCATTTGCCTTTCTCATGTTAAAATTACTTGCCCTCCCCCCAACTATGTAGTATGTTTTTTTCAAATTTGTTTGTTTTAATTTGCTATACGGTGCATGTGCTCACTGGAGACAGACATAGAGAGAAAGTAAGGAAGTGTCCCCCAGAGGAAATGACCACAGAGCGATTCCTTCTCCTCCGTTCTCCTCTCGGGATTTGGGCACACATGGATATCCACCTGGTATGTCTCTCAAGCTGCTGGGTCTCGGCCTTGAACCATGCAGTCAAGCCATGTGGGATTTAGCCACCTTAACCACCACACTACTGGCAGGTCCTAAATTCTTTTAAGTTCTGTTTATAGTGAGTCATTTTCCTTTTTTCCTATTATTAAAAAAATACATATAAAAGAGCACATGTAACACATGTAAATTCTTCAGTCTAATAATAAAACAAATACCCATAAAGCCAATGTAAGAAATGGAATATTGCCAGTTTCTTTGAAGTCTCCTGTGTATATAACCACCACCTCCCCCTATCACAGGAAATTACCATCCTGAATTACTTGGGTTTTGGGTTTTTTTTTTTATCATTCCTTTGCTTTTCTTTACATTACTACCGATATGTATGTATCCTTCAACAATATATGGGCAGGGGCCAACAGGTAGCATCATGGTTAAGGTGGATTTCCACATGGCCGACTGTGGTTCAAGACCCAGTACTGGTAGCTTGAAAATAAATAAATAAATAAATAAATAATACAATGAATAAAGGTAATATATATTTAAAAAGAAAAAATCTTGGGACCAGCAGTTGACGTAATGGCCATGTCACTGGACTCCCACGTAGCTGACCACGGTTTAAGTTCTAGACCTGGTGGCTTAAACTCACGCCAGATGCATGTGCATGCATGCCCAAGATCCTGAAAAGAGAATGGAGGAGATGGGATCGTGGCGTGGCCATCCTCCCTGGGGGGTGATTTCTTGCTTTCTGTCTCTCTGTCTTTCTGGCAAGTGCACGCGCCCGATATCAAAAACCTCTCCCAAAAAAAAGAAAGAAAAACAATCACAACAAATAAATAAATGTAAAAACAAATACATTGGTTAGCTGTGCTTTTTTTTTTAATATTTTATTTTAACTTTATTTATTATTATTGTTACTTTCCAGTTTGATCAGACAGACAGAGAGAGAGAGGGAAAGTGAGAAAAGAAGCCACCAGATTCAGGATTTGAACCACGGTCGGCCATGTAGCAATCCAGTGCCTTTAACCACCACGCCACCTGCTGGCCCCTAGCTTTGCTTTTTTAACCTTTGTTATAATACATAATGGGATGAACACATTTGTATTACACTGTCATGTCCCAAACTGTATATGGTTTCTGAGCTTCATCTCCGCTGACTGATGCATCTTACTACAATTTATTTGTTTTCACCGTTGAAAAGCACTTAGCTTCTTGGAACCAGCAGTTGGCATAATGGCTATGTCACTGGACTCCCATGTAGTCAACCACAAACTATACACGTTATTTTGTATGTGGGAATTGTTCATATGTTTTTGCTATTAGGTGTAATTCTATTATAAGATCAATACATATCTTCTGACCTGTGGCAAGAGTTTTTCTAAAGTAGACAGGTAGTAGTTCTGGTTGAAATACATTGGGACCACTACAAATTCTTAATTATTACATATGCAAATCTAGCTATTTTGCATGGTGGTTACGAGTCCTGGACTACCACAGGGGCAACCATGGTTCCAGTCCCAGGCATGAAGGCTTGCTTTCTCACTTTCTCTCTCTGTCGCTCTGTCCCTCCCAGGTCAAATGGTCAAATTAAAATAAATAAATATATATATTTTAAATCTAGCTAATTTTTCCTTTTTAAAAAGTGTTACATCAGGACCAGCAGATGACGGAATGGTTACATCACTAGACTCCCACGTGATTGACTGTGGTTCGAGTCCTAGACCCGGTGGCTTAAACTCATGCTGGGTGGGTATGTGTGCGTGCCCAAGATCCCAGGAGGAGAATGGAGGAGAAGAGAATGTGGTGTAGCCATCCCCCCAGATGATATTTATCATTTTCTGTCTGTCTGTCTCTGTCTCCCCAGTGAGCACACATGCCCTATAGCAAAAATCTCTCTTTAAAGAATAAAAAAAAAGTTGGGGGCAGCAGGTGATGTGTATAAAAAAAAAGTTGGGGGCAGCAGGGGTGATGTGGTGGTTAAGGCGCTGGACACTCCCACATGGCTGACCATGGTTTGAGTCCTGGACCTGGTGGCTTGCTTTCTCATTTTCCCTTTCTCTCTCACTCTCTGGTGAAAATAAAATAAATGGATGAATAAATAATGTTAAATAAATAATTTTTTAAAGTTATAACTACAAAGGCCCTTCTCTACTTAAAGCACATAAATGCTTAATCAACTATATTCTACCCTTTTATAAAAGGTCCACCAGAAATATACATATTTAACGACAGCATCCATCTGAGATTAATGACATCACATATAATGTGTCATATATAATGAGGCCCTGAATTTATTTTTTCCAAAACAGTTATCTGTCCTAGGAACAATTATTAAGTACTTTGTTATTTCTTCACTGTTTTGAAATGCCAGTCTGAATCTGTTTCTGGGTGTTCCATTCTTTGCCACAAATATATCTAGTATTATTTAAAGGATAAGACACTGGGTCAGCAAGTGGCATGGTGGCTGAGGCACTGGATCCCACATGGCTGAGTGTACAGTTTGAGTTCCAGACCCGACGACTTGAAAAACACGCCAGGTGTCTCCGTGTGTGTGTGTGTGTGTGTGTGTGTGTATGTGTATGTCCAAAAATCCCAAGAGAACGGAGAAAGGACTGCTGTGTGGCCATTTCCCTGGGGAGGTGATTTCTCACTTTCTCTCTCTCTGGGGAGTGCATTCACCCTATGATACACCCTATGACAAAAATTTAAATACATTTTGTAAAAAAAGATAAGAAACTGAAGCACAGCAGGGTTTAGTAAACGCTTTACCCAATAAAATTCACATGGTCAAAAGAGGCTGTTCCAGGACTAGAATACAGATTTTTTTCTGCTTCCTGTATCAGTGTTCTCATCACTAAAATAAGTGTTTCTAGAATTTTAATGTACATATTAATTATGTGAGATGCTTGTCGTAACACAGATTCTAATTTGGCAGGTCTGGATTAGGGCCCAAGTTCCCAGAGAATGTTGACGTTACAGTCTGAGGACAAGCATCTGGATGGCAAAGGCACCGTGTATCTTCCCATCCATAAACACAGTTCTAGTAGGGATGACATTAGGTTTCTGGTGCCCATGCTTAGAAGAAATTGCCACTAGAAAGAAAACTTCTGTTTTGGTATGGGCTGTTTCCACACACCGCACCTAGCTGCTGTCTTTCTCTCCCAAGGATATCAGAGCAGTCGCTTTGTTCCTGAAGTCTACCACTGTGTAATTGGTCACAAGAGGATCCACAAAGCTGATCATATGGTGTTGGCAGATCTTCTGCTCCTGGGCGGACACCTTGTTGGTGATGATGTCTAGGCCTTCATAGACCTAGAGGGAAGAAAATGAAACATGAGAAGGCCGTCTACCTTCATGAAATGCATACCTGATGGGTAGAAATGGTGATCTAACCCTCCCTCCAGCTAAACACTTGATTGACCCATAGCACCAATTTAGCAAAACAATAACAAGAGGGGAAAAAACAAACAAACAAACAAACAAACAAACAAAAACGGGCATTGGCTTTCTTAGCAAACAGCAGCAGTTATAAGCTCAGACTTAAAGATAAAAAGGATATGTAAATCTGGGCCCAAGTGACAATTTCTGCAAGATTAAAAGAAGGTTCTTTAAGCCTTGAACTTCACTTTTTCTATCACAATATTCCAGTAAGGTAACAACTTGCATTGCTCAGAGTTCTACTTCAAAATGCTTAGATATTATTTCTTGCATTTAAAAGGCACTAAAAGGTGTTTAGGATTTGTCTAAGGTTGGTTCCATTGGTGGAGAAGTGACCTACCTATTGATACATGTAAAATACACACACTCAGAAGCCAGCACCCCTTAATACTGCTAGTGGAAACACTGTGCTCTATGCAAATCATACAGGGGTCAGCACGTACAGTCTAAATACTCAAAGGTCTGGAAGCTCTTGATCTGCCAAATTCAACTAAAAAGTTGAAGTGTACTTTTTCCAAATGCAAGGTCTTAGATGGAGAACAGATCTGAAAATACTGGTTTGAAAATGAAGATGAATGCTTTCTCTCTGTAATCACTGATTCAACAGACAGCACTGAATGAACAAATAATAAGTTCCATAGAGCCCGCAAAGATGTTAAAAGCACTTTTTATCTCATATTTCCCTTTACTTATATGGATGTCAAGTAAGCACAGTACAGTGTAATGGGTAGGAGGAGGGACCACGACACCAGGCTGCCTCAGCAATCGTAGCTCTGCCACTTAGGAGTTATTTGTACTTGGGGCTAGCCAGTCACTCACCTCTCTGTGCCTCAATCTGTCATCAGTAAAATGGGGAAGATAATATCTACCTCATCAGATTGATGTGAGGATTACATGAATTAATTCGTGTAAAAAGCACTCTGGTTTTGCCTGGCACATTGCAAGAGCTCTAAGATGCAAACGTCTCCACTAGCTTGTTCTATCAGAGACCCAGGAGGCTGGATGAACTTTCATCCTATCATCTTCCTTCAGCTGGACCTTCTAGAGGCCTCTAAAACGGTAAATTTAAACAAACACACACAGGGAACGGCAGGTGGCATGGTGCTTAAGGGCACTGGACTCCCACGTGGCCAACTGTGGTTTGAGTCGTGGACCTGGCAGCTTGCTTTCTACTTGCTTTTCTACTTTTCCTCTCTCTCTCACTCTCTGTCACTCACTCTTGTCTCTCTCTCGTCAAATTAAAAATAAAAGTAAAGTTAAAATGAGAAAATAATTCTTCAAAAAGAAAAAATATCAACCACATACACACACATACATATAATTCAAAAACAGTAAATCCACAACTAGGTTCACCTTATTTATGAAAGGTGATGGTCTACTGTACTGTTCATGGTACAACAAATGCCAATAAATACAAGAGAGAGTGTTAATGGTTTAAAGTAAGCAGAATTTTAATTTACAGAGTTGGTGAATTAAAGACAGTAACTCTGGGACCAGCAGTTAGTGTAATGGCTATGTCACTGAACTCCCATGTAGCCGACCGTGGTTCAAGTCCCAGACCCAGTGGCTTAAACTCACGCCGGGTGCGTGTGTGTGCATGCCCAAGATCCCAAGAGGAGAAAGGAGAAGAAGGGATTGCGGTGTGGCCATACCCCCTGGGGGGGGGGGTGATTTCTCTTTTTCTGTCTCTCTGGTGAGTGCACACACCCTATAGCAAAAACCTTTCAAAAAAAATAAATAAATAAACTGTAACTCAGGGGCCAGCAGGTGGGTGTGGTGGTTAAGGGCACTGGACTCCCACAAGACTGACCACAGTTTGAGTCTAGGACCTGGCGGCTTTCTTTCTCTCTCTCTCTCTCTGTCCCTCTCTGGTCAAATTAAAAATAAATTAAAAAAAAAAAACCAAACCTGTAACTCATATAACTCATATACTTAATCTTGGTTATAAATCAAATTGTCATCTTCAAGTGAACTGTTAACTCTTTGCCTCTTATATATCATATTAAAAGAAATAGGGCATAAAGATGTAGGTGATACTGACCAAATATCTAATAAGAAAAGAATTACTGTTCATTTCTAGGCATAATATGGCTTTAAGTTACGTTTTAAAGCATCCTTAGCTTTTAGAGCACTATAGCATACTCAAGTTCATGTGGATGAAAGTACCATAAGGCCGGAATTAGCACCAAAGTAATGGGGGAAGAGACTGACTATAACTGAAACAAAACTGGCCAAGTTTTCATAACTGTTTTTTAAAAGAATTATTTAATCTTACTTATTTGTTTACTTATTTTAGTTTAACCAGAGAGAGACAGAGAGAGAAAGCAAGCCACCAGGTCCAGGACTTAAACCATGGTCAGCCATGTGGGAGTGTCCAGCATCTTAACCACTATGCCACCTGCTGGCCCCCAAGTATTCGTAACTATTGAAGCTAGGTGATCGATATACGGGAATTCGAACTACTAGTTGCTCCAATTTCTTTTTTTTTTAGTATTTAATATTATTTATTCATTCATTCATTTCAATTTGACCAGAGACAGTGAGAGAGAGAGAGGGGGAAAGTGAGAAAGGAAGTCACCAGTTCCAGGACTTGAACCATGTGGGAGTGTCCAGCACCTTAACCACGCCACCTGCTGCCCCCTCTTTTTTTTTTTTTTTTTAAAAATTTTTTTAGGGGACCAGCAGGTGGCGTAATGGCTATGTCGCTGGACTCCCATGTAGTTGACCGCAGTTCGAGACCTGGACCCGGAGGCTTAAGCTCACGCCAGGTGCGTGTGCGTGCCCAAGATCCCGAGAAGAGAATGGAGGAGAAGGGACTGCGGTGTGGCCTCCCCCGGGGGAGTGATCTCTCACTTTCTGTCTATCTCTCTCTGTCTTTCTGGTGAGCCACATGCACCCTATAGCAAAAACCTCTCCAAAAAAGAAAAAAAAAATTTGTTTAGAAAAGAATTATTCTATTGGGGCTGGTCAATTTAAAATTAATTTTAAAAATAATAATAAATTGAATTAAATAAATAAATAATTTTTTTAAAAGACCTGGATTCAGAGCCTGCAGGTAGCATGGAGGTTAATATGCTGGACTCTCACATGGCCAACTGTGGTTCAAGTCATGGGCCTGGCAATTTGCTTTCTCACTTTCCTACTCTCTCGCTGATTCTGTCTCTGATGAGTATACATCCCTAGTAGCAAATTTTAAATAGTAGTAATAACAAGAAGCAATAAAAATTAAAGAATTCTTTTTTTAAAAAAAAGACTTGGATGCACTTCACACTTATTATGATACCTAAGGGGAAAAAAAAAAACAGAAAATAACAAATGTTGGCAAAGCTGTAGAGAAACTAGAACAGTTGTATACTAGTGATGGGAATGTAAAATGGTACAGCTGTAACAGAAAACAACATGACAGTTTCTCAAAAAATGAAAAATATGGGAACCAGCAGTTGGTGTAGTGGTTAAGGCGCTGAACACTCCCACATGACTGACCATGGTTCAAGTCTCAGCCCTGGCAGCTTGCTTTCTCACTTTCCCTCTTTCTTTCTCTGTGTTTCTCTGGTCAAACTAAAAATAAATGAATAAATAAAATAAATGATTTTTAATTTAAAAAAATGAAAAATATAATTACAATATGATCCAACAATTCCACTTCACCCAAAAGAATTGAAAACAGGGCATGACACAGTATTTACACATCCAAGTTCAAAACAGCATTATTTACAATAACCAAAAGGTAGAAATAATCCAAGTGTCCATCAGTGGATAAATAAATAAACAAAATGTGGTATATACATGCAAGAGAATATTACTCAGTCTTTGAAAGGGTAAGAAATTTGGGTCACCAGTGGTGTGGTGGCCGTGTGTGCATGTTTGCGTAAAAACCTTAGAAGAAAATGAAGGAGAAGGGATTACAGTGTGGCCATACGCACCGTGGGGGTGCTTTCTAATTTTCCCTCTCTCCCCCCATCTCTCTGTCTTCAGCGAACACACATACCCTGTAGCAAAATTTGAATACATACTTTTTAATTTTAAAAGACTTATATGGGACCAGTAGTTAGTTTAATGGCTACGTTGCTGGACTCCCAAGTAGTCGACCGTGGTTTGAGTCCTAGACCTGGCGGCTTAAATTCATGCCGGGCGCATGTGTGTGCATGCCCAAGATCCCAAGAGGAGAATGGAGGAGAAGGGATTGTGGCATGGCCATCCCCTCTGGGGGTGATTTCTCGCTTTCTGTCTCTCTGTCTCTCTCTGTCTTTCTGGCGAGCACACGCGCCCTATAGCAAAAACCTCTCCAAAAAAACCAAAAAACAAAAAAAGACTTAGATGATAGTTTTCAGGTACAATGAGAAATCAGGGGATATAAGCCATGAAATGAAAATTTCAAAATTTTAGTGCTAGTAATGTTCTCTTGACATTTCTTTTTTTGAAATTTGCTATAGGGTACATGTGTTCATGGAGGAAGGAGAAAGAGAGAAGGTGGAAAAGCACTCCCCAGGGGGGATAGCCACATCACAATCCCTTCTCCTCCATTCTTCTCTCAGAATTTTGAGCAAACTTGCATACATACCCAGCAGTCAACCATGTAGGATCCAGCTGCCTTACACACACACCACCAGCTGGACCAGTAACGTTCTATTTCTTAAGCTGAACTATACCTGTACAGGTATTATCACTTTTTGATAATTTATTGAGCTATACAATTATGTTTTTATGAGTGTCTATTTATCAATTAAAGTCATATACAATTAAATCATTAAAATCGTACACAGTTAAAAAGCAAAAAAAATCAATATTTTACACATTTCCACCAAGAATAAATATCTAACAAACCTAGACACGAATCAATTTTGTAAATGTCATATTTGGGCCAGGTTTAGATG